GTAATGAATAGTAAACTTATCTTAAAGGATATTTGAGAATATGATAATGGTTGTTTTATAAAGTATTTTTTATTTGAAAATATATTAAAATAATATTTTTTAAAAATTATTTTTAATATTAAAATATCTGAAAATATTAAAATAAAATTAATTTAAAGTAAAGAAAAAATAAAAAATAATTTTTTTAGGTTTTACTGTTTTGTTTTTTAAAAAAAAAACTCTAGCATCTTTCGATTGAGGTCCCATTTGTTTGCTGTAAAGTAGTTTTCTTTTGGAAAATAAATTTTGAGCAAGTGAATTGTTTTATGATATTTAGTAGTGTAATGAAAAATAAGTTGAAAAACACTTTTCAGTGTTTAATTATATCATAAAAAATGAGCTAAAAAATAACTTATTAATATTTTATTTTTCTCAAGTTTATTAAAATATTGAGAAACAAATCTTACAAATTAAAAAGTTGAATTAGAATGAAATTAGAAAAAAATATAATTTCATAAATTATCTTTAATAAAATAAATAATAATCAAAATAATATAGATCAAAACTAAAAAATTAAAAATTAAAAAATTAAAATAATAATAATAATAATTAATATTTTATAAACTATTTCAAATAAAATAAGTAATAATTAAAAGAATGAGCACCAAATTTGATAGATAAAAAATTTCAATAAAAAATGATAAGGAAAAATAAAATAACAATTATAAAAATAAGGACCAAAATTAATATAAAAAATAAATTTTAAGAGATGAAATTGAAAAATAAATATTCAAAATAAAAATATAAAAATAAAAAAGGTTGAGAACTAAATTTGATATAATTATCAAATAATATAATATTTTTAAATTTTTCATAACTTTTAGAAAATATTTTTCATCTAAATTTTTTAGAAAAATATCTTTTTGAAAATCAAATTAATTTTTTTACTAGGAAACAATCTTTATTAATTAATTTTTTTAATAATAAATAAATATAAAAAAATTTAGAAAGCGATTTTAAATAAATTTTAGAAACAAATTTTATATATATATATACTTTTATTCGTGACTGCAAGTGATTTAATATTGTGTTCAAGATCGCTCAACAAACCCAGCCTCCAAAATGCCCCAAGGCCAACAACAAGAACCTGCAGCAGCGGCAAATAAATCAAACAAGAAGGATCCTCCTCTAATCCAATGCGCAGACCTAATCCTGCCATGGCTAACCCCACTTGAACTAGCCAACATTTCCTCAACCTGCAAAGCCCTTTCTCAAATCTCTAAATCCATCACTCTCCAGCGAACCCTCGACGCCTCCAGATTCTTAGAGAACCACCTTATCCCATTTCTCAACCCCATTAACCAACACCCTTATGCCTATTTCCTCTACACCCCTTCTCAACTCCTTCCCTGCCAATCCCCGCTTCGCCAGCCTTGGGGCTCACAACTCGATCGTGACTCTCTGAGTCGACACCATGGTGGCTCAGCTTGCAAATTGAATGAGTCCTGGGAGGTTTTACGTGGGTGTGATACGGAATTGGCGACTCCTCGCCGTGTTATGGGTGAGTCAAGGAAGGTTGTGTGTGGGTGTGATTGTGAAGGGTGCGAAGAAGGTGGGACAGGGTGGGAATTTTGGGGGTTGGAGGAAATGGGGATAATGACCGAGTGTGGACCGGGTTGTGGGTGTGGGTTGGAGTGTAGCAATCGGTTGACTCAGAGAGGGGTTTCGGTGAAGTTGAAGATCGTGAGAGATGGCAAGAAGGGTTGGGGTTTGTTTGCTGATCAAATGATTTGTCAAGGCCAGTTCATCTGCGAGTATGCTGGTAATTTCTTCTCCCATTAACAAAATATGATTACTTTTGAACATAAGGAATCACGTTTGCCCTAAATATGTGTGTTCTTGGCACTCATATTATGTTACTATGATGTTTTTGTTTTTGGCGGACTATTGGTGTTAGTCTGTTACGTAACTGTTTAAAGAACAAACCCCTGCAATTTACAAAATGCAAGTGTTAGAAACACGGGGACTATGTAAGAAGCGTTGTTCTTGTTGAGAGTGCAATCTAGGCTAGATTATTAACGAGAACACATTTGAGAGAATAGCTGAAAGAGAAAAAACATTATTGGTCATATTTGTAGATTATGAACTAGCTTGATAATGGAAATTTAAATAATCAAAGACCTATTTAATGTTTGTGTGTTTTATCATTTGGATATACTTTGACAAAATAGAAACTGCAAACCTTTTCACTTGTCGTATGATTGTGTTATTCATCTCATAAAATAATGATACATCTATCCCCCTTAAGGCTGCCAATATCTGTGTTTATGCAAGTTATGTCTCTTGTATCTTTTAACTGGACAATTTCTATATCAAAATAGCAAATGAAACACTTCATTTAAATAACTGGGGTATCTTCTAATATCCATCCCATTGAAATAGCTATCGCTTTTAAAAAATCCTTCTCATATTCCTTGGTTGTTTTTCATTTTGCTGCACGTACTTTTCCATTTACTGGTTTTTGTGTATGTTTTTGGTAATAACTGATTGCGTGAGGTTCTCTCTGCTGTGCTATGGGGTTTAAATGTAATGTATTAACTGCATCATTCAGACTTAAACAAATGGATCTTGTAGGATTCCCAAGAAATTCTTCAATTTCTTCTGGAAGCAGATGATTATTCATCTCCTTCGCACCTTCCGTGAATAGCCGGGACATTGAGGAATATCCAGAAAAGGCATTTAGGGAATCAGTCTGATTCTATCTCTGTTCCTTCAGTTTGAAGAAATTGAATTGCAATTAAATTAAACTCGGCCCTATCTTTTACTAAAAGGATTGAGCTGAATACAAATAGCCTATTGTATATATTTGTACATATTTTTGATAGATACATACTTAGCTAAATATACAAGATCTTAAATACAAAATATATGACTCAAAGAACTCAAACCTTTCTACTCTTGTCTTAGATCCCTAATTAATCCTAAGAATGTGAATTGTGATTTTGATGAACTTCCTCTGAATTTGAACAGGTGAGCTTTTAACAACTGAAGAAGCAAGAAGGCGGCAACAAATCTATGATGAGCTTGCATCTAGTGGCCAATTCTCTTCTGCTCTCTTGGTCGTGAGAGAGCATCTTCCATCTGGGAAAGCTTGCTTGAGGATAAATATTGATGCCACAAGAACTGGAAATGTCGCACGATTCATTAACCATTCTTGTGATGGTGGTAATCTAACAACGGTACTAGTGAGACACACAGGATCTTTGCTGCCTCGCCTTTGTTTCTTTGCTTCTAGAAACATAAAAGAAGGTGAAGAGCTCACATTTAGCTATGGGGAAATCAGGGTCAGGTCCAAGGGCTTGCAATGTTTTTGTGGCAGCTCTTGCTGTTTTGGTACTTTGCCTTCAGAACACACTTAAATCCGAGGAAGTGAGAACAAAAATCTTTTTTGCAAGAAAAGGCCCGTGGTTCATTTTTACCGAATCATTCCTCCAACATAATGTATTCTCATACTTTTGACTGTTGTGTTATAATAGTAAACTAGTTTTGCGTCTGTGTTCTCCTACATGTTATCCTGTCCACTTTATAGAATTTTCACTTCGCCTCTTGACCAAAGTAGTTGCTTGGCTTGCAGATGCATCAGCCATTAATGAGCAGAAAATACTCTGCAAGAATACAAGGAGATCATCTAATTTTAAATCCCACATTGCAAACAAATATGGTATCTTATCATGCAGATGCATATCTGCTTCAGAACCAGAAGTAGCTCTTTGCATTTTCCTTATCATACATTGGTTGATGATGCATGGAGGGGGAACGATTCAGGTTCCTGTGTTCACTGAGTCAGTGAATATGCTGTATGGGTTTGTAAATATATTTGCCAGGCCTTTACTAGGAAAACTCTTCTCGTTGACAACAACTTCTGTCAGGCATGATCATAGATATGTTGCTTTCTTTCATGAAGGATCTTAATAATGACAATTAAAAAGAAAAAGAAAAAGAAAAAGCAAAACAATTTCTTTCTTTATATAGTAAAGAACTAAAATCATACAGCAGGAGCTGTGTTTCCTCTTATGCTGCATATGATATCCATGTACGTCTGGTCCTTTAAGCTTCACCTATCATTCCACACGCCACGGGCAGCACAAATCTTGTGGCTTCCCTCGAAGACAACCTTCTTCAAGCTAAACACACAAACATTATTTACCATTTTAATATCATTTCATTACAAAGTTCTCTCTCTTAACATCCATATTAAATTGATGATTTATATCCTAATTAATTATTACACCTAATAACCATCTAATATGAATCCCTATAGCTTGTTCTTATTCTCCCTTTGCACGTGCTTCTCACACCACCAACCATACCCTTCTCATTCCCTTCACCAACCACAACGGTTTTTTTTTAATCTAATATGTATTTGAAAATATAGTTGAAATTATATTTTTTAATTAAATTTTTTTATTTAATTTTTTTTTTAATCTAATGTGTATTTGAAAATATAGTTGAAATTCTATTTTTTTATTTAATTTTTTTTTTATTTTTTGATTGTTTTGATCTGTTAATGTCAAAAATAATTTTTTAAAATATGTTTGTTTTAATCTACTAATATCAAAAATAATTTTTTAAAATATAAAAATAATATTTTAATATATTTTCAAATAAAAAAATACTTTGAAAAATAACTACTATAAAATTTTTAAATATTCATATATAAATATTTGTACAAGTATTAACACGAAGAACTATTACATCTATTCATGTGAATCAAACCAGTGACATGAAATGAGTAGAAAAATGCAATTGAATGTACAAATACATAAATGTGTATTACGTAATGTAGACCATGACATAAGAAACGAAAAATATACGAAAAAGGAAAGAAAAGAAACAAAGAAGGTTCCCACATTCACCTTGCTAGCCCCATCACGAGACTAACGCGTCCCCCATCCATTTTGTTTCCACATATAAACACCAAACCCACCACCTTTCTCTTTTGCCATCTCTGATCACTCCCTTTTTTCTACCCTAAATCTCTAATGACTGAGCCCCTCGGCGATGCCATGTCCGAAACTCGAAGAAAGGGAATCGGTAAGTGTGCCGCTACCATGTCAGATGAGTCGCAACCGGTGTCTGAACTGGCACCGACCCCGGCATCTCCTTGTGGCGCATGCAAATTTCTGAGGAGGAAATGCATTAATGGGTGCATATTTGCACCTCACTTTGGTTCAGACCAAGGTGCAGCTCGGTTCGCGGCAGTTCACAAGGTTTTTGGTGCTAGCAATGTGTCCAAGCTCTTGCTGCGTATTCCTCTGAACCGAAGGCATGAGGCCATCGTCACGATATCTTATGAGGCTCAAGCAAGGCTATCCGACCCGGTTTATGGTTGTGTCTCGACCATTCTCGCTTTGCAACAGCAGGTTTTACAATAATTTCAAAGTTCTAGTTCCTATATATATGCATGTATATACTTCTAATTTAGATATAATTACATGGACAATATTTATCTCTAAATATAATTACATTAATAAATAAATTAGTGAAGAACACGTGATTATGCTAGTGTAGCGTGATAATTCATTGTATACGTTTTGAAGAAACAGAAGCGGAGCGTTAGAGAGTTATGCTATCAATATTTTGACTTGACTTTTGTAGCTATCCATTTATAATAATCATCATCCAATTCCCTTTATTGAAAAAAAAAAAGGTGTGTGGTTGATGCCATTGTATATATTAGATGAACATGGTAATACATACAAGTAATATTCTAGGTTTTTGTGTTGACTGCTTCATGATTGATTTATTCTTTAATTCTAGATTAAGATATTAATATTTCTCTTTATAATAGCTAGTTACATTTCTTTCAATTTCTAATATTATTGGATACCCTAAAAGAAAATAAAGATTTGGAGAAAAATGTTGAAAAAACTATGCTACTCCCAAACAATTTCTCTTTTATTTATTTGTTTTTTTTTCCTGCCCAGTTGAACAGAGAGGATCAAATTTCATTTCTCTTGAGTGCTCTTCACCTGTCTGGTTCTCCCATGTCCTCCCTTTTGCAGGTGGCATCACTGCAAGCTGAGCTTTCAATGGTCCAAACTCAACTGATAAACAGTAGGTTTGCGATGGCAAATGCCCTTCAGCAGCAGCACCATGTTGCAATGCTACAACCAGCCTACTCAAACAATTCCTCAGCTTCCACTAACTACATCAACATGAGCAGTTTCACCTCCAACTTCGACCTTGTCACTGACACAGCACCATCTTCTCATAGCATGGAGCCTCTCCATATCTCACAGCCCTCCCACGACGAGGAAGAAGATGAAGAGGAGAGTCAGCTTCCGGGAGTAATTTTCGCCAACGAAGTACTTCATCGGAGATGATTTAATTCATCGAGTTTCTTCGTGAAAATTTAACCTTCATAAAATAACCTTCAATATATAGTGCCATGAGTTCCAAATTATGCAAACATAAGCTCAATATATATGCAGTAAACTTCATTAGTATTTCAAAAACCTCATCTTTACTCCTGTCCGATATGCTTTAGTTTTGTCGGTTGATAATTAAGTAGATGATTTTTTTTTCTTTTTTTTTTTAATTTTTTTTATTAATACAGTTATGTATAAATTTTTTATATATTTTGTCTAATCATATGAGTTTTAAAATTAACAATTATATAAGTTTAAGTAACTCTAAAAAATTTAAACTCATAATTATTAAAAAATAAATTAAAAATCTTATCAGTTAAGCTATGTTTTAAAGTTTTTTTCTTTTATCTTGAATTCAATATCAATTGATTGAAAATTTCATACCGATTCCTTCAAAAAAAATTTAATATTTGATTCAAGTACTTTTAATTGTTATTTTTTTATATTTTAAATAAGTTAAAAAAATTATAAATATTTTTTCATTTCACCGCTTTTATTTTTTAATTTTTCAAATTTGTTCTCTATATTTTTTATTATTTTTTAATTCTTAATAAGCTATAATATTGTTAATTTTTTAATTTTATTTCCTTTTATTTTTTTAATCTTTAAAATTTAGTCGTCATTCTTTTTATTGTTATTTATTTTTTTGAATTATTTTTTAGATTTTTCTTTACAATTTTATCCTTTATAGTTTTTTTTCTATCAAATCTAATCCCTATTTTTTATGGCTATCATTTTTTTAAGAAAGTTTTTAAATTGATTTTTTTTTATGATTTCATCCTTCAAAATTAAATTAATAAAAAATTAAGTTTCTTGATTAAACCGAGGTAAAAAATTTCATGAGTTGTGAGTTTTAGAGCATATGTTAGGTTTAGAAGATTTGCATGGGTTGACTTGTATTTTTTTTCTTTTTAAAAAGATAAAGTTTTTTTTTTTACTTTTTTTAGTTTTGTTTTATTATTTTTTACGGTGCTTTCTGTGAGATTGGTTTTGAGTTCATGACTAGTCACAAGTTTTAAATGTTAATGCGTTGACTTGAAAAAAAATAATTTATCTCAATTTCATTCTTAAATATTTAATTTATTTAAAACTATTCTTTCTATTTTTTTTCTTTCTATTGGGTTATCATGATCATGTGTCCATGTTCACTGGGTTTATGGGTTAACCCAGGTTGATTCAATTTTCTTTTTAGTTGTTGTGCAATTAATCTAGAGTTTATGACCAGAGTCACGAGTTCAAAGGTTAATGTTGATTCACTTTTTTTTGTTCTTTTTTTAAAATTTATTTATTTTAATTTTCTCTTTCAATATTTGATTTATTCAAAATTGATCTTTGTATTTTTTTTCTTTTTTTTCTTTGGCTATCTCTATCTTGTGTCCATAGTTACGAGGTTTTCAAGTCAACCTAGGTTTACTTATATTTTTTTCATTTTCATTTTATTTTTTTTATTTTGGTCTTTCAATATTGAATTATTCAATAATTAAGTTTTAAGATTTTATTCAATTTTCTTTCAAACATGGTCACCGAGCATCATGACTGGATCATAGATATTGCTTATTGACTTAGATGGACTCAAATTGAGTTTTTTCAATATTTTGTAATTATATATTTTTTTAATTTTCATCCTTTGACATTTCATTTGCTAGAGATTGAGCTTTATATTTTTTTTCTTTTTATTTTTTATGTGAAGTTATCATGTTCTCATTTAACTTATTAAGAATTAATCTTCGAACAGTTTTTCTTACATTTTTTTTATGAGATTGTCTCAATCTTATGTTCATAGTTGTGAAGTTTGTAAATTAACTCAGTTTAACTAGGATTTTTTTGTTATTTTTTTATTTTCCCCTTCAACATTAAATTGTTTGATAATTCATATAAGTTTAGATTTCTTTTGAACTTTTTTTTTGTTGTTGTTATTTTTGTTGTTAGTTTATTTAATATTGTTATATTTTTTTTAATCATATTATTTAAATTACTAATTAAACCAATAATTCAAGTCTCAAATTTTTCTCCTTAGCAATCTTTTTTATATTGAAAAGTTTATGTTGATTCCTGTAGTATAATTATGATAACATCCCATTCATATATTTATTAATATTCAACAATCAACCATAATGGCTTTAGACTCATTGCCTATTAATACACATATATAATCTCAATCTTTCCACAAATTAGCATACAACATAAGCTATATAGTATTTCTGATACAACATAACTAAATATTAGGAGGAAATCAAAAGTTGATTTACCAACCACACTACCTTGAAGTTAAAATTACTTAATTATCAACATCACAAATATTTACATGCTCAAAAATGTTTCATTACCTATTACTATTTTTATAAAGTAATGAAGAAAAAATGACCAAATTACAATTAAGAAGGGGCATACAAAGAACACATGGAATACAATAATTTCATGTAATAAATATTATACAATTTATAATATTTAACACTTAGACAAAGTTCAATTATGACATATCATCAATGTTTTCCTTGTGCATAGTTTAACCATTTCAAGTTCATCATGTCATTAGGATCATGGTTACTTCAAATCTTCACCATAATAATCATCAAATTCCTTCCTCATTCCTCATCACAACCGCAAGGGTGTTATTTTTAATTATTACAAGTTTTCTATCTCGTAGGTATTATTTTCAATCAGTATAATTGTTTTTCACTCAAAGATATTAAAGTCACTCATCACCCTTACAGACATTATAATCAATCATTATAATTATTACCTCACCTTATAGGCATTATAATCCATTATTAGAAAAATCCTATATTCTTCATGAAGGTAATTTATCCAAGAAATTTTATTGTCTCATCCTGAATGCAATTTATTCTTGAAATTCCATTATCCCTCCCTTAAAGCAAATTTTATTCTTGGAATTCTAATATCCTGTTTCGATGGCAATATTATTTCTTTAATGTCAACTTTTTTTACTTTGATAACTAGCAATTTTATATATAAACCATCATTATTTCATCATTTAGAAAAATAATGAATTTCAAGAGGTAAAGGCAAGTCTTTACTTAGAGCTGCTATGATGTGTGCTCCTAGTAGATATGCTTCACTTTAAATGAACCTCCTATAAATCCAAATGTCAAAAAGTCAACAATTATCTTGTCATCTAGGCCTTTCCATGCATTAAGTATTCATCTAACTATTTCTTTATACTTGTCAATAACATTTTATTTTCATATTCCAATACATTTTCTTTTTCAACACAACCAAAAACATAAACACTAATTTAACTTAGTTTAGTAAGATTCTATCATTCTAATTTATCCATAGTAACAAAATCATTAATAATTTATGTAACACTATAACCCAAACCAATCATTTTCTTAATAACACCGTTAAAACAATAATATCAACACAAGTTAGCTAAGTTTCCAACCAAAAATCTACATTCTATTTTAAATTTTCTTCCATTCTTATCCTTAATTACATCATTTAAACCAAAATCAATCCATCAATATACAAAATTTTTACTTTTTATACTATTCTGACATAAACCCTAACTTGCACAAAAATTAGGGATTTTAATCCCTCATCAAGAACTCATAATATAAATAAAATTAAAGCAAGAAAAACACTCTACCATAACTAATAAACCAATTTGGTTATGTTCCTTACACTAGATCCTTTAAGAATTGCTCTTTTCTATTTCAAAATCACTCATTCTCACTCTAACCTCAACTTTCAACCTCTCTCTCTCTCTAGAATACACTTGATCAATTCTTTAATGAACTTTTACCAAACCACTCTTAGTCTTATTGATTTGAAAGCAATAAGGAAAGATAAGAGAAAATGAAGAAAATCTCACTACTTATTTTCTTTATAAACTGTCGACTATAAAAGAGAGGCAGAGAGGTTGTTTTTATCATATTTACAAAAATAACCCTCTCTTGTTTATTTATGTGTTAATCTAATTAAATATCTAGTCATTACTGTTTTTTTATTTTTATTTGTTTATTATATATCCGTGATTTCTCACTATATAAATAAAAAAAATTCACATATTTTAAATTAAATTTTATCTAAACTCCTTATTCTTCAATTTAAAATTATATTATTAAATTTATAGGTTTAAATTTTCAATTTAGGGGTTACATTCTTCTGCTCTTATGAAATTTTATCCTTGGAACTTAAATTTACACCTTCAATTAAAAACAAATGAGGGTGTTTCTTTTTCATCTCCACCTTTATTTTTCAAGTTTCCTCTTTGATTTGTGAATCTCTCCATAATACTTTGACCAAAGGTACACTATTATTCCATAATTCTGGTCTAAAATTTCATTGGCTTCATCTCCAATGTTAAACCCTTCCTGATTTTAAATGAAATTAATGGTACAATTTGTGATGGGTCCATTCAACTTTCTAAAGCAATGACACATGAAATACATCATGGATCCTAGATAGATAAGGCATAATATCAATTTGTATGCTACTGGTTTAATCCTTCTTGTAATCCTAAAGGGATGATGTACTTAGTTGCTAGCTTTCCCTTCTTTTCAAAGCAAATAATATTCTTCTAATATGCAACATAAAAAAAAATATTTAGTCGCCTTTTTGAATTTCAATGGTCTCCTTTGAGTATTTGCTTAACTTTTCTATTTACCTTGCACATCTTTCTTCTTTTTGTTAATTAGTTTCACCTTGTTAGCCATCATTTGAATCAATTCTGATGTCATTAGTTTTTTTTCACCTATTTCATCCCAGTAAAGTATAGTGCAACATCTTCTCTCATATAATGCTTCAAAATAAGTCATACCTATGTTGGCCTGATATTTGTTATCATATGTAACTTCTTTAGCACTTGCGATAGCCTTTATTATTTCAATCTCCCTATCATTAGTTAAGCTTTTAATACCTTATCCTATAACATAGATTTTATTGATAAATGGACCAGCATGGATCCCTCTAATTAGATACTTAATTATACCCCCATCTTTTTCATTTTTAAGACCTCCAATTGACCTTGAACTTGCATATAATTTACTCTAATACTGGATTTATAGCTCAATATATCCGCCACTATATATGTTTTTCTAGGATGGTAATCAATGAAATAGTCATAATTAT